GACCCTGGGCACTGTGCCTAAATGTCACAAAACATAACAGATCCCTCCAGGGGAAACAAATAAGGGACGGCATGTGTAAATACAGAGAAATATTCTCAGTCCTTCCTTCTGCAATGTCCTGCTCTGCACCAAGCTCAAACACTGCTGTTAAAGGAATACTTCACCCAAAAATGTAAATTTAGTCATTTCCTCACCCTCAAGTCATTTTGCTTCAAACTTCTGCTCTTTGTTTATTTTGTGAAAATTTATGGGAATGGATACTTGTCAAACTCCAAAAATGACTAAATGTTCTATGAAAGTAGTCCATATGAACTATATTCCAAGTCTACTGAAGTCATATGATACCTTTTGTGAGAAACATACCAAAATCTAAAATTTATAGAAATAAATCTTTCCCTTACTCTCAAATCTCATTCACTTTTGCATATATTCAAATATGGCGCATGAAAGCATGTTGTGCCAGGTTTAATATTAGTAGATCCTATGTCCATGCATTTATGCCGGAAAAAAAATTCTGACTAAATCGTTAAAATTATCTGAATAAATTACAAAAATTATTTGCAAATAAAACATTTCCAAATTCAGGATTCCAAAATCACCACATATGGGAAAACTGGTGCTAACCAGAAATTGAGTTTTTACTAACATTTTGGAAACTTGTTTCTGTTTTTTTTCAAAATTCACAAACATGTGTGGATGCAACCCAGCAAAATGGTGCTAAATCCTAAATGTGTCTCGCAACTGATTGTGTTACATGAAGTTGAACAGATGTAAAATAACTTGGAAAGCTGTGGGAAGATGATTTTAGGTAAATAATGACTTAAATTTTAGCCTTTTCCTCACATAAAGCTGCATTCCTGAAGCTCAAACAACATATCATGGTGCTAGCAACACGAAGGTCATGGGTTCGATTTCAAGGAAATGCAAAAACTAAAAGTGCATACCTTAAAAGCAACTGCCAAATGCCTAAATGTAAATGTAAATAAAGCTACGATACAGCTTCAAATAAATAGAGCACAAGTGACATGAGAACACTCGTGAACTATATGAGGGTGAGTAAATAATGACTAAAATTTCAT